CTTCTTTTTCCTTCTCCTCTGCTTCTTTTGCCTTTGTCTCCTCAGCTTTGAGTCGTTCTTCCTTTGTCTTCTTCTCTGCCTCTCTTGCCTTCTGTTGCTCAGCTCTGAGTTCTTCTTCCTTTGCCTTCTCCTCTGCCTCTTTTGCCTTCTGCTCCTCTGCCTCAAGCCTTCTTTCTTCAGCATCCAATTTGGCCTGGACCTTCATTGCTTCAAGTTTTTTGGCCTCACTCAGGACCTGTTCAGTTTCGGCTTTCTGCTTTGCGTGGATCCCCTCTGCACCAGAAAGCGGAGCGACGCATTCATTGATTTCTTCATCGTCGGTGAAGCTTTCCTCTTCCTCCTCCTCTTCAATGACTACGATTTGATCGCAGTTGTCTTCCTTCTGCTTTGCCTTGTTCGCGTCCTTTTGTTCTTCTTTATTCTCTTCCTTCTTCTTTTCGTTTTCCTCTGCCTGTTGTTCTTCCTGCTTCTCTTTGTTTTCCCCTTTGTCTTTCCCATCCTGGCAGGCAGCAGGCAAGTGGGAGAATATGTTCAACACTCTGACCAACTGATGGGTTTTAGGAGCCTGCACCACATGAACCCTGCCTGAACTGGGATTGGCTTTCGAATAGATCGCGACCTCTTTTCAATGCCAGCGTCCTGCCAACTGAGCAGTGGTGATTTAGAAGCTAAGGGGTTTCCAACGCTTGCCTTGAAAATCACGGTGACCATTGCCTTCAACTTGGACATGTTGCCTTCCTTTTGCCTAGAGAAGTGGAGCGATTCATAGGCAGCTAGAATCTAGGGATCGGCAAAAAAGAAGAGTTCTCAAAACACTTGCCCTACCTGGTGGACTGTGTACGCCCGTGATTAGCTATGATCTTGCTCGCCAGCAAGCGATGCAGGGCAGATTCGTCTGCGCAGAACTCCTCAGAGATTTCAGAGATGCGACTGAAGCAGGCAGGGGGACCGGAAAGTGCTAAGCCTGGAGCTTCAAGGTCAGCGTCGTTTCCCTCCACTAGTCTCCACTTTCGAGCAGTGGCCATCAGTGCTTCCTAGCAAAGTGATAGCAAATAGAGAAGAACACACCAAACCAATGACACAAGTATCGAATGGTCCTTTACTTCACGAGCGGTCGGCTGATCCATTGTAAATTGAGGTAGCCATCGGAGTGCGAACATTGTGTTGTTGTCGGTCCCCACCTGCCAGAGCAGCAGACCCCTTTTGGTGATACAATTGGATAAAGTTGCAGTCTGCCACAAACATGCCAGCAAAACATAACCCTCTTTTAGACCCTTCTTCGGGTGGACGTCGATGAAGGTGAACTCAACTGGTGGCACCTTTTTTGTTTGCAACTTTGGGCAAGGGTGAAGTTGAAACAGTAAACAGTAAAGACAACAACTGTTTGCACCTTGTTGTCCTTAAGCATCTTTTCTGCTTTCTTCTCTGGAACCCCCTCCTTTCTGCAAAGTTCTAGGAACCTTTTCTCCCGATATCCATCTGACAGCAGGTCATCATAGAACGCCTGCACGGCACTAATTGAAATGATGTGGTTCCACTGGTGTTGACATCCCCAGCCTTGAGTAGGCTGACCCTCTTCTGGTCAGGCTTCACAACGGGCATGGTGGCGCTAGGCGGTCCCAGCTGGAAAAGGTGGGAAAAAGAACGACAAAAATCCAGTACTGCAGTAGTTCAACGCTAACCTCAACTAGTGTTGCAGTGTTCAACATGGATCCTGAATGATCTTGAGCTGGGATCTTCGGAGCAGTGTACACGTGGGCAGAATGGCAAAGGTCCATGACCGATTGGATGCGAAGAAAAACAAGACTCAGACGGCTGGAGGCACCTTCATGCCTGCTCGAGAGCAAACGCATGCCTGGGGAATCAGGAAGCAGTGGAGGCTCAAACCTTGAAAGCAGTGCACAATGAAGAAGTCTCAGGGTCGAGCGCTTCCTCAGCGCTTTCTTCATTGGCGAATGCTTGCAAGGTTTGAGCCATGAGAAGTCGATCAAAAGGACCCAGCCATGCAAGTGAGTGATAGAAGGTTCATGTGGTGCAGGCTCCTAAAACCCATCAATCCCAAGAAAGAATGAAAACATAGTATTTTACGAAGGCCTAAGTTTTCATCATGAATACTTAGCATTTGTAAAGGCTAAGTTAAACTTCCACATTGACGCCTAGGGTATATATATATATATATGCATATACAATTTCTTGTTATTGGTGCAGAAACCCGTTTATTTTTGCCTTGCAAGCAGAACCCAGCTGCCCAGGCTTGGCTTGAGCCGCTTCCAGGAAGCTCCTTCACTGATGGCGCATTTATGGAAAATCGTCCGCGGCCCACGGCCCAAGATGGATGGTTGCTGGAGGATAATCCACTTCGACATCCGTGGCACCGTTCTTTGCCATGGAAAGAGCTCGAGAAACTGCTCCGCGAAAAAAAGTGAAGGCGATTCGAGGCGTTTGAGTCGGTCTCAAAGAAGACCTGCTGTGAGGTGCCATGGGCCATGGCGGCCATGGGCGACGAAAAGAATGATAATGTCAGCAATGTAGTTGTCACTTCAGCTTTTGAGAAGCTGTTTGGCGGCCTGAGCTTGTAGGACTCTGCAAGAGCACTACTTCTTTACAGAGCAGAAGTCAGAGCTTTGACAGCTTCCGAGCACAAAAATGTGTTTGACAGCCGGCACTGGCACGAAGACCTGAGAACCATACTAGCATCATAGACACCAGCAACTCGAACATAATTTCCGAGCTTGCTTTTGTTCCGTGACAAGGAACATGCATGTGAGGACTTTGTCAGCATAAATGCCTTGCTGGGTTCATCTTTAGAGGCGAGCTTTTTTGTACAGCCTACGTACGGCTCAAGAAGATGCAAGGCCTCAACCCCCTACAGCACCATTCATCATGCGGGCATAATCTTTTCAAGGACAGCACATACTGCTACATGTTGACTTAATCCATCCAGATCCATATCGATATATATATATATATATTATATATCCATTGCCAATGGCTTTCCATGCCCATGGCTTTCCATTTTTCTGCCACCACCCCGGCACCAACTTACACAAGCTGCTGGTGTGCCATGGCACCCAACAGGCCTCGATGGTTGTTGCCTCTTCTTTTCCTGGCAACTTGCAGGTGTGGTGGCCCAAAAGCTGCATCCTTGGCAACAGCTAACTGATGGGAAGTCTAGAAGATCGAGAAGACTTGTTTGATTTGTTGAATCCGTCGAATATATTTTGTTAAACCATAGTCATTTCGTTTGACTATATATTAAGCAACTACTTTCTTTCCAGAACTCGTAGACTTGAACAATCTGTAAGGAGTATGTGCAAGAAAACCTGGTGGAACAACACTGAGTCTGACACTGATCAGCCTGACCTTGTAGTATCACAGAAGCTAGTAGGGACAGACTAAGGCCGGCTTTCGTGACCCTTCAAGGCCCCTCGCGGGCGCCCTCGCGTGTGGCGCGAAGAGCTGTGGGATTGGAATTCCTCCGCGAGACATTGGAGGCCAGGATCAGTTGGGCATCCTGGAGGCTGCTGATGTTGAGCAAGCCCTTAGACTGTTTGAGAGTACAAACGCTGTCCCAGACGATGCACCCGCATCACCAATACCAAAGTCCAATCAAAGCTCATGCATACCAGGCGTACGCTGCCGCGCGGGTGGCGGACTCACCTTTCCTGGCTGAGGCACCAGGAGATGCCATGAGGTGTTGAACATGCCGATGTCCGTCTCGAGAAGGAGCATGTAATATGGACCTACTGACCTGAAATGAGAACACGAGGGTTTTGAACATCTACTCCCAACCTACTCGGAGTAGCGAGCGGCAATAGTTGGAGTGGACCTTGGTGTGCAGTGGTGTTTGGACCTCCCTAGTCACACATCAAAACACCAAATGTGACTGTGACGCAATAGGCACCCAGATCTGGAGAAGCACACCGAAAAGGGACACATGCTTGGCATAAATCTCCAGCGAGGAGTTCATGGAATCGATTGGAGTACTGCTCGTGAACCTATAGGGTCTTATTGGCACTGAGAACGTATCCTCATGATTCCTCATGCGCTGCTTAACTCCTGAGGGAGTTGCTGTAGAGCAGCAGCTGTAGTTGTCTCGTTCTGCACCAATATCACACTTGGACAGGCCCCGGAAGCAGCATTGCACTGGGGACATGCTGCGGCGATGGTGGGGGTCGTCAGGGTTTTTTTCGGGTCCGGTTCATCATGGATATTGCTGGAACTGCACCGTGAGTCGTGAGTCACACTTGTGGGTTGATTTGCTGCTGAGCTTGCATAGGGAGGACTTGCTGTCATTTTGCTTTTGATCTTTGTTCAATTTGTGGACATTGTGGACAATGATATTCTATCCAATGAAGGCCTGGATGCACTGTCGACGGCTGTCGAATGTCACATCACAACATGTCTGTCCATGGCGACGGCCAAAAGCAAGACACACATATGCCGGTATTCCATTCCGAACCTTCATTGAATAAGGGATGCTTCAACACTGTTCACTGTATTCTTTGTCAATTTGTCTTGTGGCATGTGCTTGAACGGATCATTGGATCATCGAACATCCACTTGCAAGATCGACATATATTAGACCTTCTTGCTCGATCTTGCTCGAAAGCTATATGTTTGACATCATTTTGAGACATGTCTTACTCGACCGCCTAAATCCAGGCCTCAGTCTATCCCCAGCTTGTGTTTGGCGCCTTTCTGGGGTGGCAAATCCGCACGGGCAAAGGGGAGGACCGCTGAAGGGCTGTGGCAGAGGGCAGAAATCCCCTTGTGCTTGTGGACCATGTGAGGGAAGGAGGTTTGGATCTAGCTGGGTGTTACGAGAAAAACATCGGTCTTCGCATGCTTTCGCTGCAGCATCGCTCCATTTTTCGTTGAATGGAAAAACAACTTGTTAGAGAGGTGGTCAGATGTCAGAAGTGGCCTCTCAAGTGTTTGGTCCAACAAGTGGCCTCAGGGTGTTGGTCGCCGATCTTCGGTGTCGAAGTGAGGGAAATTGCAGTGAGGCTCTTTTTGTGAGACGGCTTAGTGGACTTGTCTCTCCCAGCAGAGAGAAGGAGGGAGAGAAAGAGAGAGAGAGAGAGAGATTCGGCGCAGAAACCGGAGAGAGGGGGAGAGAGAGAGAGAGAGACACACACACACACACACCCCGGCCACTGTCAGGAGAGCACGCCATTGGGCTTCTCTTCCAGGGCGCTCCACCCATTGCTGAGCATTGGTGCTTTCTTGTTCTTTCTCATTGGAGGACTTCGGTGGGCCTGTCTGGCGGAGTTCTTTTTGTGGATTCTTTATGCACCACTTCACATCAGCGGAAGAACACAGAAAGCCCGGATGATCATCTGAACATGATCACTTTGCAGTGGAGCTTTGCATTATGGAGCAGGTGGGCTGCCTCCTTGAGAGATCTTCAGGCTCTAGTAACTGGCCCGCGAAGCCACTCATTCGTATCGTCCCAAAGCCACTCATTCATTTCGTCCATGACTGGCTAGGACAGGGTGGTTTGGTGCTGCTCACGGTCAAGAGCTCATATTTGCATGACGTGATTGCTTAAGCCTATATAAACTAACTTTTTACTAGAATCAATGGAATCATTCAAAGGTTAGATAAGATATGACAAGATGAGAATTCTACTGCCTACTGCTTCGACAGGCTCAAGATTTTGAAGCGTCGACCAGATGCCCAGGCCCAGAAGCAAACCATCCTCGACTCCCCTCATGCGGTCACTGCGCTCCTGGGCTCCCGGCTCAGCCAACCAACTGTGACAATCCCTTTCTGCGAAGGAATGGAGCTGTTTAGTGGGACAACTTTGCTCGTGTTTTGGGGTCTATCACAAGAGTCGCCTGTCCAAGATGTTGGAGCTTTGAGAGCTGAAAAAACATTTTAAAGAAACAGCATCCCCTTATCCCATGTGGAAGAGTTACGTACATTATAGGCCACACATCGGGTAAACGGTAAATGTACGTACGCTGTAATTAAATGTAATTAACAATGTTGTAACTCTTCGGATAGCTTGGGCGCAATCCCGTAGCCCGCTTCATCCAAAGATGTGTTTGTTGTGGCTCGTGATTTGGGACCCTGTTTGCCGCGAAACAGTTGATGGATGTGGCTCGCAATCTCACTCAGCCCATCTGAGCTCTGAGGCTTGTCGCTCTTGCTGCTACAAGCGCTGCTGCCCATCTTCTTCCCAAGCGGCGCGCAAGTGCGGACGACTCATGCGTTGTTAGGCCGGCACATGCAACAGGTCTCATTGCCGTGGCCAGATACACGACGGATCCAACGGATAGGAAAATCCTTTCCAAACAACATCGGTTGTACCCATTTTGCGGGGCCGCTGCAGGCTGCAAGATAGTCAGTTAGTGACTACCTTTTGTGATGCTAGGCAACGACAAATACTCAAGTCATTGGACTGTCAAGGGCTTGCTGGCACATGGAGAGCACTGGTTCGTAGAACAGAGAACATCTAGAGTCCAGTGGAGGGGAAAAAGCTATCGTCTCATGATTGATCCTCAACACAGAGGCTGTAGATATCCATAGTATCCCATGATTGTTTTTGAGCCAATTATTCTCTAGCCATTAAGCAGTGTTCCTGCAATTTGTGCAAAGGAGTGCAGTTGCATGACGGTCGTGAGTGCAGGGGTTGGAAACCAAAGGAGGCGCACTAGGAAGCCTTGAGTGTGCCCCCCCCACACTCTCTTCGGCGGGAGATTCAAAGAACATTGACATTTGATGTTGAATGCACTCACTGTTTCAGGAGGTTTTGGACTTGACAATTCTGCCAGTGCCCTTCATCCCATCGCCACCAGATCAAGATCGGACGGGGAGCGGTTGGGGCAGCAATGTCAAGCCAAATCAAGTCATGTGTGATCTCAAATCTAGCCCCACAAATTCTGGTGACACTAGGCAGCAGACATTGGCAAAACACCTTTTACCCCTCAGTATCCAGAGGACACTTACTGCTCATGTGAATTGCAGTGAAGTCCTTCATGGTAAAGCTTCAGCAATCCCTGAGCCGGTTGCTCGTTTCAGTCAGTTCCTCGAGTCGGCGTTGGTTGTGGGTCAGCACCTTGGCCAACAGCTGACCAGAAATACTTTCTCCTTCCAAGTCCTGTCAATCTAGTCACTAGTCCTTTCGGCTTGGGGCCGAACTACTTGAAAGTTGAATTATAGTGAATTACTTCTGAACCCCCCAGCCATGAAACAACATGCTGGCAAAGTTGATGAATTCACCGGTGAAACAACTGGACTCAGAGTTCTGACACCCGTTCCTCCAGAACAGTCGTAGTGGGTGCCACGGTCACCGTGCCACGGTCGGCCGTGCCATGGGAAGTTGCAAGAGCTTCTTCAAGCGGTCCGCGCAGTCACAGGCCGCGCGTGTTTGCCGCGCCCGACGTTTGGGTCGATGACGTTTGGGTCCCGACATCTCCCGACGTGAAATAGGTCAATCCTCACAGCAGACTCTGGACTCTTGATGGTAGTTCAACCTCATTCCATGAACGATGTGAAGAGGTTTTTGGAATCCAATGTTTGTTTTGTGATGATTCAAGAGTCTGCATTACAGAGTTGGCTAGCATTTTGGCTAGGATTTGCCTGCCGATGCCTCCAGGAGGTTTAAAATGCCGATTGAATCTCATTGACGCTGGTGAGGATGCACCTTTTGTAAGAGTGTGAAAATTGATCCTTGTTGGCCAACATAACCAGGACTTGTTCAGTGCGGTGCCAGGACGGCTTGGTTTGTTCTTGTTCTCAAGCACGTGGGAGTGATAATCAGTAGAGAGAGATTCTGCCAAGCCAGGAGTTTGTTGAACAAATATTATATACCTATATACCCTATCAGTCAAAAGACTTTTAAAAGAAAAGACGTTGGCACAACAACCTTTCTTTATAGCTTTTCACATTTACCCTGTTCACGCTGTTCACGCTGCCAGGATGTATTTTTCTATTGTACTTTCTTGCCTCCCCACCCAGCTTGGTTAAGTCGCATCGACATTCGCTTCAACGCACTCTTGTGTAATAATTAGATTGATGAGCGGTTCGCACACACATGCACAGTTCCTGGTGCCAAGACACGTTTTCATTTGCAACTTCCCTCATAGCTGAGGCATTGGCACACTGTGTAGAAACAGTGCGCACTGTGGGTATACAGGCACAGGTGAGATGAGGGTGCACCTCAAACGACTGCAACGCATCATCCAGTGGAATCTATGGTGTGGATGTCCCCGAAGATATAGACCTGGGCTGGGGCTGGCTTGATCTATATATAGAATCATTTAGACCAAGAGGAACGACCCAGAGGAACTCGGGTGGACGGCGGATCGCAGCGAACCGACAGACTTCGGCGGTTCACACTGAGCGTTCTGCGGAGGATGGAACGGAGAGCTGGGCTCAGAAGCGTGCCGGGACGTCTCCAGTGCTAATCAAGCACATGCAGGCGGCGGATCTTGGTGGTGAGACGGGTTAAAATGATCAAATACCTCAACCTAATGTAACATGTCCATGTAACATGTCCATGAATCATAGCTTAATCATGCCGACTATGTGACCCGGCTGGCCGGTGCCACCGGTCGCATCCGGATCGCTTGCGCCGGAGCGATCGAGGTGTGCAAAGCCTCAGACTTCAGCAAAGCCTACAGCATCGCCCAAGCCTTTCCGGGACCCAAGAATAAGGCGAATGCGCCCAAAAAGCTGCACCTCAGTTGGTAATAGGTGTGGTTGTTTCTTCCGCGGGCTCGGGTGGTCTGGTAAAACTCTGCGTTTCCCGAGGAAATTGGATTGCTCACTATTGGTGGGATGGACCTTTTACTATCCATGCAGACGTTATTGTAGGTTTTTCAATGGATTTTAGTCCGGCCACCAGAAAAGATCAGAACAGTTTCTTTTTGCCTCATGAGAGGTGTGCTTTGGAAACTGCAATTTGGGTTAGGTATTGATCGATTTAGTCACCTTATGGGGGGCTGCATGCAGGGAATCAATCTCATGCGGAGGCTACAATTCCTATCACACATTTGTAGCTTAAGGCGAGTCCTTCATGTTTGTTCGTGGCTGTCGAACCAAGTGTGTTGGCAGATCCCCTATTTCATCCTTATTTCCTTCGCAACAAGTGGTGATGCTGGGTCGGGCTGGTTTCGCTCGCGATCATCGAAACGGTAAACGGTCTCTGCGGTGCAACGGTCCATCGAAGGCGGGATATGCACTTGTGGCCTTCCCAATGAAGCCTCCAGCCTCACGTCATTACACAGTTCTTTTCGAGCGTTTGCTTTAGGGGATGCGGGTGGCTTCCCTCGATACCTATCCACAATGCAGTTTTGGGGGCCATTCTGAACCAAAAGGCACCTAAAAGATGGAAGACCATAGTAATTAGACGCATGGAAACTCCGACTCCCGTCGATAGGGACCACAGCTGCCATTGGTATCCACTCCATGTCAAGGATGTGCTCATCCTGTGGCAACTTCATCGTGGCACCTTGCTGCAGTTGTTTGGTGTGAAAATTGTGAGAGTTCGTAGCTGGATGTTAGCTTTTCTGACACCAAAATGTGGGCTAGTAGGCTAGACGTCTTGATCACCTGGAAGGAAGAAGAAGCAGAAGAAGAAGAAGAAGAATGGAGTTCATGTAGAGGTGAGATCAATATAGATTCGATGTTGATCACTCGATTATGTTTCAAACCATGTTTGGAGATGGTGTGGCTTCTTTGGCCAAGTCCCGACTTGACCACATGAGCGACCGGTCCCGTTGGCGACCCCTTCCACCAGGAAGCACCGGGCGAGCAGAAATTCTATGCCTGCCGAAGTTGCTGGAAGCTGGGCAATGCTTTAGGCATTTGCAACACTTGTTTTCAAGACGAAAGGCCCGGAAGGTTTGGGCGAAGAAAGCGTGCGCGCGGACGAAAACGCGCTTTCCGGAGAAAAAACAGCGTCGGCGTTGGACATTCCAAATCATCCGATGCAGAAGATGCAATGGACCACCCCAAGGCACCAAAACCACTCAATGTAGGCATATATATATATATATATATATATATGGCATACATGGAGTGTTTGGGAATGAATTGATTGGGACCGGGAACGTGCCCCAGCTCTCTTTGTTCCGGTCCATCGGTGCACGGGTGATTCCATCGCGCCAGGTTTTGCTTGGAGGAGGGGAACACTGCACCCATCAAGGATGACTTCTGGCGTGGTCGGACATCCGGTGGCTTTGAGACAACCGATTGAGTCAGCATTGTTGCATTGCATCTCAAAGTGTCTCTCACTTGAACGTTGATCCGCACCAAGAGGTGAGGAAACAGAGCAAAAGAACGATGCCAACACGTAAACGTCCGTTCCTGGTGTAAACCCTGCAGAAGTCAACACAACATCCGGACATGGTTTTGTCAGGGTTTTGCACCAACTGCAAGTCTACTCACTCTGTACCAGGCGTAAGTTTCGCCGCATGGGTCCTTTTTTCAGGAGAGCCTTTTTGTGGGGAAATCGCTTCAGCATCAAACTGCTTAGTAATCTCAGAAGGGGATGAGAGAATGAGCCCCCACTATGATCCATTCCCTCATCCCTACTAAGCACCAAATCAATCGGTTCATTCAGGCTCTATGACCGGCTCAATGGGTCTGAAGCTCAGACTGCGTACGCCTGACATGAGCAATCAATCGGCGAGTGCCCTCATGATCATTATACAAATATACAATTATCAAAGGAAGTTTAGAAGGAACTTCCGTGTTACGGACATTCAACAGCTGTTCAACCACCACTCATCATACACCACTCATCAGATTTCGTGGCAGGTGCAGCAATTTGTGAACCTCCATGTGCAGATTTCGTGGCAGGTGCAATACAAAATGCGTTTTCGAGAGATAGCGGACGCACGAAATGCTGTATTTTTCAATAGAACCGGTGGCTTCGAACCTGGCAAGTCTAGCTCTGCGGAACAACTGTTGCGAGACGGTCTCGGGTCATGCTCGGTCGGCCGTCCATTCTGATTAGGTTTTCACTTGTCTCTTGAAGTGCAGATTTCGTGGCAGGCGCAGCACTTTGTGAACCTCCATGTGCAGATTTCGTGGCAGGCACAGCACTTTGTGAACCTCCATGTGCAGATGTCGTGGCAGGTGCAGCACTTTGTGAACCTCCAGGTGCAGATTTCGTGGCAGGCACAGCACTTTGTGAACCTCCAGGTGCAGATTTCGTGTCAGGCACAGCACTCTGTGAACCTCCAGGTGCAGATTTCGTGGCAGGCACAGTACCGACAGTACTTTGTGAACCTCCAGGTGCAGATGTCATGTCAGGCACAGCACTTTGTGAACCTCCATGTGCAGATTTCGTGGCAGGCACAGTACTTTGTGAACCTCCATGTGCAGATTTCGTGGCAGGCACAGCACTTTGTGAACCTCCATGTGCAGATGTCGTGGCAGGCGCAGCACTTTGTGAACCTCCATGTGCAGATTTCGTG